TATCTATCTATCTATCTATCTATCTATCTATCTATCTATCTATATTGTTGTTGTAAAATGCCATTGATTCGGTTTTGACTCAGCAACCCTGTATAGGGTTTCCGAGGCTGTAAATCTTAAATCTTTGCCGAAGCAGAAAGCCTCATCTTTTCCTGGTGGAAAACTCACTCTGTAGGATAAACACTGGACTGCAAAATACAAAGTGGTGGTTCGAGCCCACCAGGCACTTAACAACAATATATTTATGTGTATGTGTGTGTCGCTGTAGTATAAGCACTGGACTGCAAGGTCAGTTTGAAATACAAGGTCGACAGTTCAAACTCACCAACCTTGGAAATCCTATACAGGGTCGCTATGGGTTGGAACCGACTCGACAGCACTTAACAACAACAGCAACAATATATGCTGGCTGTTGTTGTCAAGGTCGGTGATGCAAGCTCACCAGTCACCGCTCGGAAACCCTATATGGGGTCACTATGAGTTGGAACTGTACTGGACCACAAGGTCCGTTTGAACTACAAGACTGGCAGTTCAAACCCACTTAACAACTCTTGTTGTTGTTAAGTGCAGTCGGGTCAGTACTCATAGAGACCCTGTGTAGTGTTTCTGAAGAGCAACTGATGAGTCTGAACCAATGACCTTGTGGTTCAAACCGACCTTATCCTACGGCTTATCCTACAGTGCCGCACTAGAAGCCTTTCTTGGAAACACTAGGCGGGGTCCATATGAGTCTGAACCAACTCAATGACAAAAAATATTATTAGTTTTTTAAAAATGATAACATTGAAAAATGTAATCAATGTCACTAAATGATCCATACAACACTGTTGAATTGGTGTATGTTTTGCTGTGTATATTCTCAACAATAAAATAAAATTCCTAATATTCCCTTGTTTGTATAACCCATCAAAGATTTGACCATTTGTCTATGACAGTTTGTTTTTTTTACTGGTTTGGGTTTTGATTCAGTTTGGTTTGTTTTAAGATAGTATAAACAGCATTGTCTCAGACATCCTGATGTATTACTAATGCCAATGTTTCTGTAGAATAAATCTAAAAAGTTACATTGCATGTTTATGGCTTAATCTTAATAAATACTGCAAGATGAGGGCATTGACTCTCCCAGCAACAAGATCAGTCTTCTTGCTATAGTCATGGCACTAGATGGCCTGGATCTTTTTACTTTTGCAATCTTTGGGCATTTCCCTGACTACCAGCGAGGCAGAGTATCTTTTTTAATGTGTGTTATACATTCGCATTTTCTCTTCTAAAAACCTGTTTAAAGCCTTCAATCATTTCCCCCTCTTTGGTGCAAAAGGGTGGGAAAAGACAGAGAATTCTCCTTGAGATCCGGATCTAGACAGGGATGATCTCTCTCACCACTACTATTCAACATTGTCCTGGAAGTCCTAATCAGAACAATTGGTGTTAGATGTCATCGAGTTGGCAACCCTACGGCACAACAGACCGAAACACTGCTCAGTCCTGTGATACCATTACAACTGTTATGTTTGAGCTCATTGTTGCAGGCACTGTGGCAGTCCATTTCATTGGGGGGGGGGGGCTTCCTCTTTTTCGCCAAGCCTATACTTTATCGAACATGATGTCCTTTTCCAGGGACTGGTCCCTCCGGGCACATGTCCGAAGTATGTGAGATGAACTTTCAATAGCCTTGCTTCCAAGGGAGCGTTCTAGCTGTACTTCTTCCAAGACAAATTTATTTGTTCTTCTGGCAGTCCATGATATTTCAATATTCTTCGCTAACACCACACTTAAAGTCAGTGGGTCAGTTCTTCTCAGGTCTTCCTTATTTATTGTCCAGTCTTCACATGCATGTATTGTTGTTGTAAAGTGCCATGGAGTCAACTCTGACACATAGTGACCCTGTATAGGATTTCCGAGGAGCAGCTGATGGGTTTAAACTGATCTTACAAGTGCACTTGAGGTGACTGAAAATACCATGGCTTGGGTCAGGTGCACCTTAGTCCTCAAAGTGAAATCTTTGCTCTTGAGCATTTTAAAGAGGTCTTTTGCAGCAGACTTGCCCAATGCAATATATCGTTTGATTTCTTGACTGGCTGCTTCCATGAGCATTTATCTTAGTTCCAAGTAAAATGAAGCCCTTGATAAATTCAATCTTTTCTCTGTTTAGCATGATACTGTTTACTGGCCCAGTTGTGAGGATTTCTGTTTTCTTTACTTTAAGTTGTAATCCATACTGAGACCTGTGTTCTTTGATACCCATCAAATGCCTCAAGTCTTCCTCATCAAATCAAGCAAGGTAGTGTCATTTGTATACTATACATTTTTGGTGAACCTTTCTCCAGTTCTGAGGTTGTATTCTTCATATAGTTCAGCTTCTCAGATTATTTGCTCAGCATACAGATTCAATATGTATGGTGAAAGAATACAACTCTGATGCATACCTTTCCTGATTTTAAGCCATTCACTGTGCCTTTGTTCTGTTTGGATGTTGCCTCTTGATCTATGTACCTGATGAGCACAATTAAGAATTTCCATTCTTCATAATGTTAGCCATAGTTTGTTATGATCCAAACAGTCAAATGCCTTTGCATAGTCAATAAAATACAAGTAAACATCTTTCTGGTGTTCTCTGCTTTCAGTTCTATGATCCCTTCTGAATCCAGCTTAAATTTGAGCCAGAATAATTGTGCTTTGGGGCGGGGGGAAGCTACTGAAATTGGGAAGGAGCAAGTAAAACACTCCCATTTTACAGATGACGTGATTCTACACATAGAAAGCATATAAAATCTATAAGAAAGCTATTAAAATGAATAAATGAAGTCAATAAAGTGGCAGGCTACAAGGTCAATTCATAAGCAATGAGAAAGTGGAAAAGGAAATTAAGGAAACATTACCATTTTCAATAGCATATAAAAGAATAAAGTACGTGGAAATAAATTTAACAAGAAGGTGAAAGACTTGTACACAGAAAACTATGGTGGTGGTGGTGGTGTGCCTTGGAGTCGGTTCCGATTCATAGAGACCTTGAATAAGGTTTCCGGGGCTGTAAATCTTTATGGAAGCAGAAAGTCTCATCTTTCTTCCGCGGAACGGCTGATAATTTCGAACTGCTGACCTTGAGGTTAGCAGCCCTCCTTGTAACCACTACACAAAACATTAAAATTAATTAAAGAAGATGTCTCTCATACTTTAGACATATTATCAGGAGGGACCAGTCACTGGAGAAGGATATTATGTTTGGTAGGGTGGAGGGTCAGAGAAAGAGAGGAAGATGCCCAGTGAGATGGATTGGCAAAGTGGCAGCATCAATGGGCTCAAGTGTGCCAGCAATGGTGAGATTGGCCCAGGATCGGGCAGTGCTTCATTCTGCTGTGCATAAGGTCGCTATGAGTCGGTACCGACTGGGTGGCACCTAACAACAGCAAATATAAATGGAAAGACATTCCATGTTTGTGCATTGGAAAACAATACAGTTAAGATGTCAATATTACCCAGAGCAATCTATAAACTCAGTGCAATCCCATCAACATTTTTTTTCTTCATATGTTTATTTGCTGCCCAAATGTCTTCCTCTGTGAAGTGTCTGTTCATGTCTTGTGCCCATTTTTAAATTGGGTTGTCTCTTTCTTGTAGAGGTGTTATTTCCTATAGGTTTTAGGGATTAGTGCATTATCTGATATGTTGTGGCAAAAAAAATTTTCCCATTCTGTGGGCTCCCTTTTTACTCTTTTGGTGAAGTCTTTTGATGCAAATACATTTCTAATTTTTAGAAGGTCCCAATCATATATTTTGT